TACGTCAACATACACACACAAAAAATAGAAGTCTCGCTCCGGCAATATACACACCATGTTAGAGGGTGTGCTCACGGTTCGGTTCATGGTACATCCAATTCAAAACTAACAGACAGGTACTTTTTTTATTATGCGGTCATAACACATGAAAACCGGACAACTGTTTTTAAAGTACAGATGCAGACAAAACGTTACCTGCTTGAAGAAAAGCTAGTACGAGACGCCTTCTTCACTTTGTCTTTGTCACTACCTAGTAAGGAAGTGTTTTAATTGCTTAATTAATTGATTATTATAAAATAAGTTATTTAAAATGTTATAGATTTAAACTTTTATTCAAAACATGGCTTGCTTAGAAAATTTGATACAAGTAATTTTTTTGTTTGGGTTTAGTTTCCAAAGGAGCCTTCAGTTTTTGTGACCGTTGCACATCACCATGCCGGACTGAAGAGAGACGCCGCCAGTATTTGGTTGGAGGATATCACGCGATCTTCCTTTAAAATATGTTTAAGGGAACTGCAGAATTACGCGGGCTCACATGAGGACATCTATGTCGTATGTAGTATACTTCATTTTTTCTCCTTTTTACGTCCTATTCTCAGCATTATATTTGTTGTGCGTTGAGTTGTCTCAAATTATGTCGTTACCCAGCGGTGCAGGGCAACCTGACAACATGATGTAGCGAATTTTCTCTTTCTTTCCATTTTTCTTTTCTTTTGTTTTTTTTTTCTCTTTTCACAGAACTGGTTGGCTTTTTCGTCACTTGACAAGCCCATGTTCTCAGAACACAGCTCAGTTTATTTTGCAAACTCTCAGAAGCCTGCAGCCTGGAACAATAACGCATTCTGCAAGGTCAGTATAAATCAAATCTCGCTTGGCTTTGTTTTATGTCACGTTTTCACCATACGTTAATTTGACGGCTCTTTTCATCGATTTTGAAATTCATTGTATGTTCTTTTATTAGGATATTTCCTTTGCCAAATTGTACAAGAAAGCCCCAAGTGTATTTGTATCTGCGAATCACACTTCCAGTGGGGGAGGTCAGGATCCAATGCACAATTCCATAACCGCTTGGGTTGAGGTGAGTGGGTGACTGCTAAGTGAGCGCTTTGAAAACAACCTGGAGGTGTGGAACGGTATTGTGAGCTTGTGATCCGTGTTGAGCTTTCTTTCATGGCAGTAAACTAATAACGATTATAAAGTGTAGGAAGTGGTTCAGTAATAAAAAGACTTGTGCTAAAAAATGATTGAACTAACATGGCTCCACACTTGTTTTCTTGCCTCTAAAGTTACGTTTTCCTTAATTTACGTTATAGTTCCTTAATTTACGTCACATCTCCTTTGTTCCCGGGAGATTTCAGTGAGAAGACTAAGACCAATGGTGCGCCAAAATGGCAGCAACTTTGAACGTTTAAGAAAAAATTCTAAACAAAAAAAACAAAGTTGTGTTCGCATCGCAAAATTTTTCCGCAGACGAGGTTCTCGCGGTAAAGCTTACTTTCAAATAATAATAATAATAATAATAAAATAATAATAATAATAATAATAATAATAATAATAATAATAATAAATTTTAGGTTATGGGCACTAAAGCAGTTTCAATGACGTAATGACTAAACGCAGTGCTTTAAAAGTAGATAAAACTACAAACAGTAGTCAGTAGCAGATTAATTTTTTGTCGAGACTTAGACATGATAATTTAGGATTGGTGAATTAAAAAATGTGCAAATAATCATCTGTTTTTATTTATTTATTAAATTAATTAACACAAATGTTGCATCTATTTCCCAGGTATTTGCCAGCAAAGTTGGAGCTATTTTAGTGGCTACTGTTACTTCACCAGTCGCACTTGTGGCTCGTGGCTCACTGCTGTATCAAACTGTTCTACGATGAGTTCCAGTTTGGTAACAGTTCACAACCAGAATGAAAACGTCTATATTCAACACCGCCCCAACGGAGAGAGATCCTGGATCGGACTCAATGACCGAAGTGTGGAGGGCTCCTTTGTGTGGACAAACAAAGAAATAAGTAGTTTTAGGTTCTGGGCCCCACAGCAACCGAACGACTGGAAAAACGAAGATTGTGTTCACACTCTTGGCGCCAGGCATGGTTACACTTGGAATGATGTGTCTTGTCATAACTGCTATAACTACACTTGTTTTAAAGGTATTAGGCATACCAAGATCATTACTAATTATGTTTTATGAACGTCAGTTAGAACATAGTGCCACAAGACATTCAACTACATTAACTTTGAATTATATATTAAATGGTTCAACGAACATGAGCTCAGGGCAAGCTTTGTAAGATCTTTTTTGCGGGTCACGTTTTTCCCATATGTTATTTTCTCTCGACAGTTAGTTACACAGCTATATACAAAGGAAAGGAATTCTTAACTTTTAAGATAGGATAAGAGTAAAGAGTGTTTAACCTCTTCACTATGTGATTTTCCCTTTTAGACTTGGATGAATGTACCACTGGTTCCCATTCCTGTGACGCCAATTCCGTTTGCCAGAATAACGCGGGTTCATACACATGCTCATGTAATGCCGGGTACACAGGAGATGGAAAAACCTGCAATGGTATATTTATAGATAATAAGTAAACTGAGGCCGCGTCCACACGAATCCAAAAGCCAAAAGGCAGTTCTCAAAAATATCCGGTTCGTGTGGACGGATTCTGAGAAGGCAATAAAGTCAAAAAATGGCTGAAGGGTGCAATTCCTACGGGGTGTGAAACAAACCGTTAACACTGTCACCTGCCTTGTTTCGCAGAAAAATAAGAAAAATGAATACTTTGACCTTAGCGACCAAGTGTAAACTATCAGGTAGATAATTCAAAATACTTCTGCGTTTTTGATTGCGTATTCCCCCAGCTAATTTTTCATAGCCAGCTACCGTTAACCAAATTTGGCAGATGTTTGCAGATATCCTCAGAGATGAGACTAGTAAGACATCCTCGGAGACCTAGGGGCAGTTAGTTATGCCGTTTCTCCTGACTCGACTGAGGCCCCGGCAACACGAATCCGGAAACGGCATATTTCTTTACACAACCGTATTCGTATGAACGGGGCCTTAAACCTATCTGGAGCGCGATGGGAAAAAGATGCAGCTTCGGTGAAAGGATTTATAGGTTTCATGTGGACGAAAGGCCGGTTCGTGTTTAAAAAATATATATATTGGCTGTTCAAAAAAATATCCGGTTTTGTGTGGAACCTGGCTTGACTGCCCCTGGGTTCCCAAGAATTTTAACGATTAATTATTCATCAAAAAAGGATAGCCGAAGGTTTGGCAGTTCGGTTTTGGTAATGCTGGAGAAAATAGCGAAGAAAAAAAAAAGAGCCGAACAAAAACAGCAAACATACCACTCGACCGATGACAGCTGCCCATGAAGATAAATATTTTCCGGCTAGACTAAATTTGCCCTTATATCCTGAATTTTCCGAGGAAGAGGCAAATGTTATGCAGACGAAACTTTACATCGATGAAGAAAAGCATGATTTAAGGTTTTGAAATACCTTCAATTAATCAAAAAATGTTTGATTCTGCTTTGTATGATATGAAGAATTATGCAGGTCTCGAAGGGGGTAGCGAGGGGAGGGGAAGAGGGTAAGAATAAGGAAGCCGAATCCAATAACTGCTGAATAATTGATCAAAGTTACGCTACGTTACGCCATCAGGCATATGCAAAATCTCTTATCTTTACGCCAAGCTTCACTACATTTTCCCAGATATCGACGAGTGTTCTTCCAACGCCCATAGCTGTGGCGTCAATGCGGTGTGTAACAATGCCGTTGGATCGTATGCATGCGCATGTAAAGCAGGATATTCAGGAGATGGAAGAACATGCACTGGTAAGGCGTTTTGATCTTTTTCTAAAGGTAACTTAGAAGAAAGGGATACTGAAAATGACTCCTGTATAAACTTGTTCATGCTCGAGTACAGACGAAAAAGGTTTTTGGTAGGTCAGACAACAACGAAACCGACGACAGAAACAATCATATACTTTGTTAAATAGGAATTAACTTAGAGTACTTGCTGCCTGGTAGCCAGCTGATGTGATCATTAAATGAAAATAACCCATGAACCCCTTAAGCAGCAGCCTTTCGCGTGCGGGGTCTGGGGCGCTGGTTTCGGAACGAGGAGGGTATGCAGATGGGACTGTTACGACTAGGAGTATTATCATAGATTAAGGAGTGCCTTCGACATGGGTAATATATTGCCGAAAATAGAACCTGATAGGTGACGTGAAGGCTAAAACGGTGTGTTACGTTTCATTTTCTGGCTTTAATTTGCATTTTGCCTATTTTGTTCGTTCGTTGTGGAGCGCTGTTTTGTGAGGAGTTTGAATGGCCTGAGAAAACAGCCGAAACTTCGCGACGTCACCACTGTTTTCCCCACGAAATGACATCTGAGAAACGAGGGCAGAATTTCCATCCTGACGACGCGCCACTACCCAGCTGTGAGTAGTGCTTCTGATTAGTTGAAGCAAATTTTCAGCCAAACAGATCCAGGTAGTGACGTCATCAGGATGGAGTTAAAAAGGAGCTGAGAAGCATATGGTGAACTTTGATTTGTGGGGAGTTTTAGTTAATAAACCCGGTTGGATAACAGAATTAGCAGTTTGTGTTTTCTTGTGACAAAGTATGGGTAAATAGTAGAGACAGGATTAATGCATTATTCAAAGTACTTTTATCGCGACTCCTTCTTCTTTAGATATGTGAAACTTTGGAGAGCTCTTCGCAAAGAACGTCAACACGATGCACTTCAGCGCGTCCACGAAAATTGGCAGTAACCTTTCAAACTCTAGCCTAAGAAAACAACCGACATTTCAAGACGCTACAACTGGTTTCCCCTCGAAATGACGTTCAAGAAACGTGCTCAGAAACTCCATCCTAATGATGCGTCACTACCTTGATCTGTTTTGGCCGAAAATTGGCTTCAGCCAATCAGCAGCACTACTCATATCTGGGTAGTGACGCGTCATCAGTATGGAAATTCTGCGCTCGTTTCTCAGAAGTAACTTCGTGGGGAAGAAAGTGGTGGCGTCGCGAAATTCGGCTGTTTTCTCAGGCTATTGAACCTCTTCACAAAACAGCGCTCCATAATGAACAAACAAAATAGGAAAAATGCGAAACCCAGAAAATGAAACTTAACACATCGTTTTAGCCTTCACGTCACCTATCAGGTTCTATTTTCGGCGATATGACTGTGTGTATTAAATCTCAATTCTACGAGGGGCAGATCCAGGAAAATTATATTATTACTTATTTTCAAGCTGCCTGCCGAGAAACACGTTTTATTTTGGGAAATTTAAGTGACATGCACATGGCTGAGCAGATGACGCAATCACTAGACAAAACTTGATAAAAATAATGGCCTATTATTAAAAGTCATCCCTCGAAATAAACCACGTGCTTATCATGTGACTATTTCATTTTCATTTGGTCCTTGTTTGCATTTAGTGAAAGTACGTATCGCCTTAATTCAAGGGAATTTCTTGTCGCATGCTTTCAAACTCTTCGTCTTGGCCATAAAGTGTTCATTTCTGATTCGTTCCCATAGAATTTCTTTCCCTTACTTACTTAACTACGTTCACAGCTCGAAAACGAAAGGGAATCGTTTTTGCGATGAAAAGTCCTGAAAATAGAGCGGTACACAACAAAAGAAAAACGCACGTGACGCACCCACGAGGATTGATTGGCTGCAAAGGCTGAGAGAGCGCATTGGACACAAGGCCCTGCAAAAAATATATGTGGGAGCGCCATTTTAGTAATCATAGGAATGTTTGGAAGGTCAAAACGTCCTGGCTAGATGTGTACAGGACACCCAAAAAAGAGAAACAGCCAACCACACACAAAATTGGGAGTTGCATTCTAGTCGAACGAAAAAATAGATTTAGTTAAGAAAAAACTAAAATGCTTCTGTTGTCGAAAAACTCAATGCGTCATTGTGTTCTCCGCTTTTCTTGAAGCACTCTGAATTTCGCGTTTCTCTTTTTTCTTTCCAATCTAGCAGGTTTTGAATAGCCTGCGATCCTTTGCTCATTAGTTTACAACAATTCATCAGCCTCTATGAGGTCCTGAGATCGCATGTTCGATGATATATCGGGTTCATGCAGCGGTTTCTATTAGGCGCGTGTATGTGATGAAACCACTTATTGCCTCAACCCTAATAGCTTACACTGGCCTAAACACACAGAACAAACCGCACGGAAATTTGCCAGTGTAAACGAGCCTTTACAACGTACTTTAGGAACTTAACCCTCGGAGTAAGGCCCCCACCTACCCCCTACCCCCTGGGCGTTCCCTTTTCCATGAAATTAAAGATTGTCAAGACAGTACAAACTCAAACAGTCTGAGTACAATGGTTATTGCCCAGTAAGTGCAACGATTGTTGAAACCTGTTTTTGATCAAGCTTATGTTATTTCAGTCCGTTTTCCTTGTATCCTGCTTCCTCTTCGCTAAGAAAATGGGCGTGATTATACTCATTGTTATTTTGTTTATTTCCAGATATTGACGAGTGTGCTAGCGGTACTGATGACTGTCACACTTCACGTGCTTCATGTACAAACACAGTGGGATCCTTTAATTGTTCATGTAACAGTTCTTACATTGGAGATGGCAGAACTTGCAATATACCATCAGGTATTTAGGAAAAGATAATGAGGATAATATAATTAGGAAGATTTTCATTTACCAAACCCGTGCACTAGTGAGTGATGCACCATGCGCTGACCTTGGCTGCTTGAACGGGGTTTTACGTTTAAAATTCATTGGACGGTTTAAAAGGAAAGCTTTTGAGACCTTCGACCACTGTGTGGTCACTCGGAATACACTTGTTTGTTAACGAAGTCCTGCAGAAAACGGCCTTGAGAGGGCACAGTATTCGGCTTGACTTGCGGGCAAGTCTACTTTAATGCAATTCATGCTGTTACTTTAAGGGGAGTTGACTTTCTCGAGTTTGCTAATTAACTGCGATAGCAGTCACTATCTCTATGAAAAACCGAACAACAATAACGAGGCGAATTATAAGAATTACCTATAAGATTAGCAAATACACGTGAATAAGTTTCTGCGTCAGAAGTACACGAAGAATTAAATAATCGTTGTTGTTGTTGTTGTTGTTGTTGTTTTTTGTTGTTGTTTTTTTTTTCCTGTCTTTGTTCATTTCCGTTTTGATGGGAGTCTTATGGAGTCTTTAGAGTTGTATTCTTGATTTCGGTTCTGTAAAAGACTCAGCATAGTGCCCGCCAAACAAATCTTGCGGTGCAATATTTTGAGCAGCAGGGTAGGATAATGAGGACCCTGCTACGCGTCCTTTTGTCACTGGTCAAATAACGGATTCAACGATCGACTTTTTTGCTTTGTTCTACAGTATTTTGTTTTTCTTTGTTTGTTTTTACCCTTAAGTAAATTTTAGCTACTTGCAAAAAAATGGCTCAAATGGCTAATTATTGCCTACGTCATGAAGCCGAGTAAGACGGGAATAGCTGACCCTTAAGCTGTATCGGGCATCCTTGCTCAATGCGTTTGGAAACTACGTTTTCATTATGTGATAAGTGACCTTGTATAAATATACTATAGTGGTTATGCAGAGTGCTTATAAGAAAAGACCTTTCAGTTAACAGTCTTTTGACAATATAACGGGCACAGAAAAAAACTCTGAGAATAGCGAATCTTTGTACGCAAAAGGCTTATAATCAATTGTTAGTTGCCAGAACGTTTTTGTAAATGTTAGTATTGAATGATTGAATCAGCTTCATGATTACAAAATTAATATCGTTACCTGTAATTATTAATTATGGTCAATCCTGAAATGTTCAGGCACTTTTTTATATATGCACGGACCTATTTTCCCTGAGAAATACTCGGCAAAGCTAAAGGCGGTACATGCATCCATGTATTCCTGTATCAAAATTTAACGTCGTATGTAACAGAGATAACTCATCGGTTTACTAGCGCAAGTTATGACGATGCCTAACATATACAGCTGTTTTCTTCCTGTGTTTTTGTCGGTCAACAGTGAGGATGTGGTTGCGGAATTTAGAACATGAAAAGATCCCCTCTTTTGCCTCGAGCTCGCCCCGTGTAAGGGAATGCGCATTCCGGAATCCAATAAATTTTTGCTGGTGGAATCAAGAATCTGGGAAATTGCTTGTGGAATCCGCAATCCTAGGCTTTGGAATCCGTAATCCTTCTAAAGATTTAAATCCAGAACCCAAGTTCCATTGACAAAGACTGGAATCCAGTACCTGGAATCCGGAATTCACGGCGTGGAATCCAGAATCCAAGACTGTCTTGGGTTCCCTTACATGGGGCGATCGAGCTGATGTACAACTAAATGAAACGTTGCTAGTGACTGATGTTATTTCTCCTCTTTTGTGTCAGAATGTCAGAACTACGGGAGTCTCAACAGCAGAACCCGAAGGACTTCGTATAACTGGTACAACTCTTATTGTGATAGCAGTCTTGGCCCCGGATGGTTCCGTTTCCAGGGGTCTGCCGGCACCAGAATGGCAACATCATGTCCATCTTACGGAAGTTGTGGTACCTATTATCCCGGCTGGCTAAGTGGAGGACACCCCACAGTAGCGGACGGTCAGGTCACCAGGACGGTGTATTTCAATAATGGTTATTGCTATTCTTACTCAACAAGCATCAAAGTGAGAAATTGTGGTTCATATTACGTGTACTATCTTAGTGGTACACCTGGCGGTAGATGTAATCTCCGTTACTGTGGCACTAACTAGACACAACTGCAAACAAAGTCTATATGTATGCATATTATATCATTTCATTAAAGTAGGCTTTATTTTAAAAACAAAGTAACCATCTGAAAAAAAGACTCTACTTACACAGTAACTTCAGTATCAATATCTGTTTATAATAACTTTAGCAAAGAAAGAAAAAGTGAGATAAGACAACGTACTACTTTTAAGCCATTTGGCAGATTATAGCGCCTATAACGTAAACATTTTTATTATGTAACGGCGACCTAATTTTTAATGACACTCTTCACAGAAGGCTTCACAAATGACTTAATTAAATCAGGCAAATTACAAAAACTTCTTGATTCAACTAGCCAAAAATGTCTAACTTGGAACCAGTCCTTTCGCGGTATGAGACTTGGTCCTCGCGCCGCTTGCATGCAAATTTCGAGCGAGAACAAGAAAAAAAATCATGTCAATGAAAACTTAGAAAAAACTCCAAAACATGTTATATTAACTGAAAGAACACATCAGTGCTAATTACTGAGTCTAACAACGGCATGCATTTGCTAAATAAACTACGTTGGAGAACATTTTAGTTCTAGCTTTTAATAGCTTTGTTCTTTTTAAAAACCTCGCCGGCATTACCAAATTTGTATAAAAGATTACGATTCTGGTCTATGCAGTAAAAGACGCCATCTCGCTTCATCATTGCACACGGGATATGAAGAGAAGACTTATTAAGATCATTTTAAGAATATTAAAGAAGATACATCTTAGATATAATTACCTCTAGACAACTGGAAAAGACCGACTGTCAACTGACTTCTGTCAAGTAGTATAACGCAGTAGTGAATAAATAAAATGCTGTTTGCCAGTTAATTGTTTTGCCTTCTCATGTTTAGTATGCATTATAAATGGAAACCCTTCTCAGACACGACAGGTTGAGAAAGGAAGGTGTAAAAGCAGACGGGAGTTACAGGTGGGAAGAGCGGGAAATAAGGAGCAGAACTGAGCCATCGCTGAGGGGCCGAGTTTAGGCGACATATATCGAGCGTCCGTTGAAAATCAAAGAACGAAAGACAATATAAAAGATGATATAACATTTTGCTCATTCACTTTTTTTTTTCTCCTGATATAGTGTACCCAACAGACTTGTTCAGAGCCCCTTTCCTTTGTTAACTTTTTAACTGTTCATTTATTTCTTAGACACATATTTGGCATATTCTGGTGACAGTCTGTTGTTTGCGATATGCGAAAAAGTTGTATTGGGTAAATTTTGGCGTGATTAGATATTCTCTAAAATTTTGTAACATTTTGCATTCCGATAGTGAGCACTATATTGCTTCTATTTCTTGTAATGTGTGAGCTTGTGTGTTTTCCTACGCCCCGTTTGTCTAGCGTCCGTTGAAAATCAAAGAATGAAAGACAATATAAAAGATGATATAACATTTTGCTCATTCACTTTTTTTCTCTCCTGATATAGTGTACCCAACAGACTTGTTCAGAGCCCCTTTCCTTTGTTAACTTTTTAACTGTTCATTTATTTCTTAGACACATATTTGGCATATTCTGGTGACAGTCTGTTGTTTGCGATATGCGAAAAAGTTGTATTGGGTAAATTTTGGCGTGATTAGATATTCTCTAAAATTTTGTAACATTTTGCATTCCGATAGTGAGCACTATATTGCTTCTATTTCTTGTAATGTGTGAGCTTGTGTGTTTTCCTACGCCCCGTTTGTCTAGCGTCCGTTGAAAATCAAAGAATGAAAGACAATATAAAAGATGATATAACATTTTGCTCATTCACTTTTTTTCTCTCCTGATATAGTGTACCCAACAGACTTGTTCAGAGCCCCTTTCCTTTGTTAACTTTTTAACTGTTCATTTATTTCTTAGACACATATTTGGCATATTCTGGTGACAGTCTGTTGTTTGCGATATGCGAAAAAGTTGTATTGGGTAAATTTTGGCGTGATTAGATATTCTCTAAAATTTTGTAACATTTTGCATTCCGATAGTGAGCACTATATTGCTTCTATTTCTTGTAATGTGTGAGCTTGTGTGTTTGCCTACGCCCCGTCTGAAAATCAGTTTTTGTTGTGCGGCTAGCGTAGTTAAATAAATTTGTTGCTGTGTGTTTGTTGGTTGTTGAAATTTACATCGTTGACCGAATGTAGCATGGCCGCAGAATTAAGAAACACCAGAAAAAACAAACGCCAAAAAAACCCCGCAAGTACGACTTTTAGCAATAAAGCAGAATGTCACTGAAGGTTTTTTCAACTAGACTTGATTATCTAAAACGCTGAATTTGTTAATTACAGTCATTTGGCGACTAAGGTCATAAGATGAACAATCACTTGTAGTGAACTCTACATTTGCAGTTTTGTGTAGAAATTATTACGCAATTCTCTCTCTCAAAAGAAAAGAAAATAGTTTCTATTTTCCGTGTTTATAGCTCACACTATTTAACTTCGTCCGCCCTGCAGTCATGCAAATTACCCGTAAGCAGCACTGAACTTCTCGTCTGAAGTGAAGTCCATGTTTTTTTCTCGTGTGCGACTACTTTGTTGTTTTATGCATTTGCTGTCAGTGGCACAATCTCTAGTCTTGGTTCAAATTTACTTGTTCTGTTAGTTTGCATAATACGACGCAACGCTGACCAATGAAAGGAATACATTGGATTAAAAAATAATAATAAAAAAGATAAAGAAGGAGCTTCGAAAAATAGCAGCAGCAGGCAGCCACCATGATAAGATTTAACAGCATGTCTTTAAGCGGGTTACCGGATACCTTTGGGGGTGTCTCATGAGCAAGTAATGCAGCGCATTTCTGATACAAATGCAAATACCTAAAACCGTATATCAAATTGAAATCTTATTGAACTGGCTTTTTCATTTAACTAACAGTTTTTTTTTTCGAAACAAAGCACTGTCGATTTTTTTTAGGATTTTTTAATGCAAACGTCCGAATCAGGTTTCGAAAGCTAAAACTCACAGCCATGTTTATTTTTCACTGATTTGATTTGTTCTAGTCGTTTGGAAGTCAAAACCCTAAAAAAGAATGTAGGGTTTTTCCCTTTTTTGATGGCGATTAGAAGTTACAGAAAAAGAAGTTGGGTGATCGTACAAAAATGCCCGTAAACAAAAAGGTTTTAAGAAACAAGAAAATAGAAAAGAAATAGATTGAAATTTGATCGTATGGACCGTCCAATGCACGTTACAAACAATTCACTGATTGGTGTAAGGCCTTGAGCAATCTGTCTGGCGGTGCCGTCAATAAATCCAAAACAGTTTTGTAATGGTGCACCAGTCTGAGCAACTGCATTATCATATCTCTGGAGTGCTAGTGGATCCATAACTTCTGGATACCATTGGCGTATTTGGTGTTGATGAGTTCTATAAACTTGATTTTATTAGAACTTTGTTCGTAATCATGCTTAACACTGGAACTGGACGTGAAAATCTGGACACCACATGTCAGAGTAACTTAAATAGGGTATGTCAAACATTTGAAAATGAAGTGCCTTGGTTTCACCTGCTGTGCTTTGCACATTGCAGGAAACAGCATGTAACAGACTCAGAGGAATTTGCAGTGTTTCAGTAACCATAAGAATTTCTCGTTTTCGAACTCTAAACTCAGCTACACATTCATCATCTTTTGTTTCGTCGAAGTCAAACGCTGGATACACGTCGTATGGCAAATCCAGGTTTTAAGGCTAAGTAAGAATCATACAGTTACAAAAACTCCTTGTCACTGATTAATTCTTGATCATTATCCTAAGAGAAAAGTAATATCTCTTGCCTGTCTAAAGGAAGCCATTACGTATCGTATTTCGTTTTAGCGTTTTCCCGTCGACGGGCGAAAACGATTCAAATAGGCTACGTGTGGACGTTTACCAATTTAATTTGTTGCTAGTACGGAAGTTCTTCGTTTGGAGAGCAAAAATAGGTTCATTAATAGATATAAAAGTCATGTAGGAAACGATTTTGACAACGCTGGTTGCGTGATATCCAAAACAGCTTTAAAGCTAATTGTATAAGTGCAAACAATATAATTATACTATTATAACGGTGCTTTTAGTATAAAATATCGCATTTAATTTGCAAGCAATTCTCCCTTTAGTGAAAATACGGCTTTGAATCTGGAATAACTGTTTGGACACGTCCCTATTTTTTTCTTTTGTTTCTGTGGTAAAGAAGGCAACCGTCAAAAAGAATAACAAAAAGCACAGGCAGGGATAACGAAGTCTTCAATTGGTATGTTCGCTCACAAGTTAGGGATAGGATTAAACGTTTCCTTGTATTGCCTGCTTATTGTACTCAATGATTATAGGCATATTTCGTGCCGAATAACTTCAAATTTTGTTGGGAACAACTCAGATAAGAATGCAAAAGGAATTTTAAAAAAGCAATAATAAATAACCAAAATGCTTCCTCTCAAAACAAATTGAAGTTGACAGGTGTCATTATATCCTCTGTCAATACTTTGAAGTTTTCAAAGAGAAATAATGACACATCCACCGTATGAGAGTGAATTTAAGTGCTTGTCATTCACGCAAGATAGTTTCAGTTAATTAGCTGTTTTGTGGCACCGAAGCAACAGAATATGGTCTAGCAAAGACAAGAGAAATTCATTGGTAAGATAATTTTTTCCCGGTTTTAAAAGATCATTGTTTAGTTAATAGCATGAAAGGATCCAAGGGGTTACTGTTTAACCTTTCAAAGGACAGGAAACTCCAACTTTCTTCGTTTGGTTGCGGCTTTTGGTGAAAATTATTTAGTGTTTGAAAGGTAAAATTAAGTTGGCCTAAACGGAATTATTAATGACATCTGAAGTTAGCACTTTTTTGCAGTTCAGTTTATATTTTTCAAACTCGATTAGTCATCGTTAAGCAAAAGGTTAAATTATGGTACATAAAAAAAATTACGTTACTGGAACTCGGGGGGGGTGGGAGGGGTACTCGACCAATATTTGGGTGTAGGTGAGCCGCTGAGGGTTTGAAACCCATACCCTGTTTAGGGTAACACCCTCGACTTTAG